TTCAGCTCAAGGCTAGCACTCTACCACTTGAGCCACAGTGCCACTTCCGGCTTTTTTCTTTTTGCTTATGTGGTGCTGAGGAATCAAACCCAGGGCCTTGAGCATGCAAGGCAAGCGCTCTACCACTGAGCACCTTCCCAGCCCTATTGGTTAGCTTTTTTACTCCAGGCTTTTCATTCAAGTGCTTTTACCACTTGAGCTACATCTCCACTCTTTGTTGGTGGTGGAGCTTGAACTTGGGGCCTGAATGATGTTCCTAAGCCGCTTTGGGTCAAGGCTAGCACTCTACCACTTGAGCCACAGCACCACTTCCAGTGTTGGAGTGGTTAATTAGAGATAAACAATCACACGGGCACTTTTCTGCCAGGGCTGACTCTGAACCGCGATCCTCCATCTCAGCCTCCTGAGCAGCTAGGACACAGGCGCGAGCGTCTCCACTTCCATGGACTTCGTTTTAAGGACTACTTCCTGACTTGCAGGGCATGCGCAAGACAGCACTGCCCCACTCTGCAGATGGAGGCCAGAGGGGGTGGGTCCATTCCCCACTTGTGCCGGCTGCCTCCCCTACTCTGGATTTCTGGGGTCCCTCTCTACTCTGGGCTTTTCCTGCCTCTTCGCCCTCAACCGTGGACGGGCAGCACTGGCATCAAGGGCCTATGGGCAGGGCCTAGGAAGACCACAGCTCACTTGCTAGCGGTCTCCTGAGCCCAATAATGCTCAAGCCCACTCGCACCCCACTTGTTCACCCTAAGACATTTCCCACAGTGGCCCCCTTCTCTTTCCTCCTGGCTGCATGGCCCAGCCGCCCTGTGGTCAGGGTCCTTTATCTATCTCCCTTCTTGGCAATGTCTAGCCGCACAGAGCCTTGACCAGCGTGGCCATGACGCGGGGGGCACACGCAGACTCGCTTTCCACCCACGAGCAGGAATCCTGTGGATGCTTTGCGTTGCCTACAAGCCCAAATGTAGTTTCTGGGTGAACCCAGGAATTAGCCCGGAGGAAGGCGGGCTCTGTGCTGGCCCCGCCCCCTCTGTCCACACGCTGATAACCTGGCTTCCCCTCCCCTGGGAACAGAGGCGCCATTCATGGCTCCGTCCCCTGAACACCAGCCACATCCTCGCCTGCCATCCCGCCACGCTGGCATGAATGAGCTGTCTGTGCTCCTAACACGTCTCAAGCCAACCCGGGGCCCAGCCCGCCCTGTAAGGTGCGGCCTCAGGGTCACTGATTACCAGTACACACCGTGCACACCAGAAAGGGTAAGATTTGGGTTAGATTTACATCTGGAACAAACATAACCTTAGAGAGGTAAACTTCTCTTGACTTTTACTTTCTCACATCTAAAAACAAAGTGCGCCTATCTGGCACCTAATAAGCATCTGATTCAATTCCATTTAGACGCAGCTCCGCCATTTGCTGGCGGCGGCTCTGGTCGTCCGAGCCCTCTGCGCTGTCGCGCGCCGCCCAGGAAGCCCTGGCCAGCTGGCGCGCACGAGGCAGCGCACATGCGACGCCCAACACATCTCAACTCAGGACACAAGTCAGACAGCACCGCCCCCACCACCACAGGACAGCGAGGCAAGGGAGACTGGGACCTGGGAAGGAACTCAGGGTTAGGGAAGAGAGGACACACTATCCAGCTGAGCGGTGACAAGGTGATGGGGGGCAGGGTGTCATCCCGGGAAGGAGGCGGGGGGGGCGGGAGGGGCACTGGCCGGGCACCCGCCAGCCACCCTCACCAGCTGGCGTTTCTGCAGAGAAATGAAGACCTATTCATTAAACAAGGTCACATGCTGAAAACAGCCTAGACATTAGGAAGCATGAACAAGGAGACAGCGGGAGAGAGGGCACTTCAAGCCAGGAAAAGCTCAGGGCGCAGAGCGGCCGAGGAGCAGAGGTGTGTGCCTGCGTTGCGCCAGTGGGCGGGGAGAGGACTGCGGGGATCAGTCCTCGGCTCATCCAATTCCACGGGCAAAGGAAGTGTGTGTGGTAAGAAAACGGCCCTGGTCTGAACTAAGGCCATAGAGGCAGAAGGAAAAGGCAGCGATGTTCTTCCCAGAACAGAAGCCGCATGCGCCTAGACGTGCTTTTAATAGGCTATCTGTCGGCCGGACTGGGAAACAGCTGGTGCGTCAGATACTGAGTTTGAGGCTGAGTCTTGGACAAAAAAAAAAAGAATAAAAAAGAAAGAGTAACAGAGGCACGTGACTCATTTCCTTCTACATAAAAAGAGGGAAAAGGGTAACAGAAATAGCTTTTCTGTGTCATGACTTATTTCTGTACTAACCTATGATTAAAAAATAAAAACAACAATAGTTTTGCATAGTGCTTTCTAAAGCATTCCAAAGTTTGGTGTCAGAAATGGATCAAGTCTAAAAGGAGCTAGCAACGCTAAACAGGAAGAACACAGGCCTATGGCTGGGGAGAACTAGAGAAAAATGAACTTTACAGGTTCCGAACCTGATTTTCTTTAGCAGAAGATTCCAAAAAAGCTGCATTCCAAGACTCTGCCAAAGCCTTCCCTTCTTCATAGCTGATCACCCTAAAAGAAAGAGAGCATGTCATTCTGTGGGTTTTTAAAATGACATACAACATCTATAATTAATAGAACTGGCTCAACTCTTGATCAGCCTTCTATACCGCGTGACACGGCGTGATGGTTACAAGGAACAACACAGGGGCTTAAGTCAAGCCTGGTGGGGAACAGAAAACACAAGGCCTTGTTGGGCCACCCACGATCCAGCAAGTCCATGCAATTCAGAGAACACGAGCTATTCCACTATTGGACACCCACCTGCTTCCCAGCGGGGCTGCGAGCACCCGAGGGCAGAGGAAATTCTGAAAGGCCACAGCTGGCATGTGCCGCGAGCTGCTGCTGGGGTGCTGCCCCTGCGCCAGGATCACCCTGCCATCCCAGCCCATTCGAGAAACCGCGGCAAGAACAAGGAATGCCTTCTCCTTTGTCACAGTAGAGAGCCACAAGAGAACATCTTCTCTCTTTCTAGAATGATGTGGCATTCAATGTGCACTGTAGTTTCACCTCCATTGTGCCTCATGACCACATTTCTCTTTTACTTTTTTTCCTTCCAGGATTTGAATTCTCAATCTGACTTGTTCACTCACTGGCTGACACTCTACCTCTGGAGCCATGGCTCCACCCAGGGCCACGTTTCTGAATGGGTAAACCCTACAGCTACACACTGACTTCTGGGCAATAATGAAAACTGATGTTAAGGTGACTGAATCTCCTCAGGCTTCATTTCATACATAAATGACTTAAGCCTAGGGCTGGTGGATCCCAATTTGAAGCTAGACCAGGTAGCAAAGTCCGTGAGACTCTTACCTCCAATTAACCAGAAGAGCTGGAAAGAGCTGTGGTTCAAGTGGTAGAAAACAAGCCTCAAATAAATAAGCTCAGGGACAACACACTAGCCTTGAGAGTCCACCACCCAGGGTCAGGACGTGCACGCACCAACAGTGACACACACACACACACACACACACACACACACACGGCACGCACCAACAGTGACACACACACACACGACTGAAAAGGAAACATACCTTTCCATGTGCAGGTCTTTCTTATTCCCAACCAACATAATAGGAATTCTGTTGAAAAGGAAACAGAAACAGAAACAGAGCCGTCAGAGCCAGGTTCTCTTGATGAGCAGCACTAACTGTAATGAGTTCAATCAAGAAGGAAAGAACTCTACTTACTGCACTTTACCCACCATATCCAACAACTTGCCATGGATGACTTTAATCACTTCAAAACTACAAGACAGAAAGTGCGCAATTACTATCTACTTACAAAAATTCTCTCATTTTCATTTTAGAAAGTATTATCTATAAATAGTTGTACAAAGGAGTTAAAATTCTCCAAAGCAGTTTCACGAATACAGCGCATCTGCATGAGCTTCCCTTCTTTCAACCTTCTCCCCAGCCCTCCCTGCCTACCCCACGCTTCCCTTAATTCACTATATATTTTAGGTTATGTATTGAATTTTTTTTCGGGGGGGGGGGAGGGGCGGGACTTGAGCTCGCAGGACCTCAGTGCTATCCCCTGAGCTTTTCTATCCAATGATAGTGCTCTACTACTTTGAGCCACAGTTCTACTTCTGGTTTTCTGGTAGCTAATTGGAGATAAGAGTCATGACATGGACTTTCCTGCCCTGGCTGGCTATAAACCATGATCCTCAGATCTCAGCATCACGAATAGCTAGGATTACAGGCACTAGCACTAGGCTTTTGTTTTGTTTTTTTTAACAAAGCAATGCATGTGTACAATGCATCTTGATCTGTGTTACCACCAACACCTTCACCCCCCTTCAACCCACTCCCTCCTTCCCTTCTAGTTCTCAGGGCTGTGGTATATGCAATGAATCCTTGCCTGCATTTTCTTCCTTCTTCCCCCCTCCCCTTGGCCTCACCCTACCCTCTTACAAGTATCCACTTCACAGCACTTATTTTGTTGGGCTTTCAAAGAAAGATGGATAAGGCCTGGGAAGGTGGCTCAGTGGTAGAATGCATGCTTGCCTTGCATGCATGAAGTCCTGGGTTCAATTCCTCAGCACCACATAAACAGAAAAAGCTGGAAGTGTTGCTGTGGTTCAAGTGGTAGAGCGCTAGCTTTGAGCGGAAGAGCTGAGGGACAGTGCCCAGGCCCAGAGTTCAAGCCCCACAACCATCAAAAAAGAAAGATGAATAAATAGGATTGCATCAAACGTAAAAGTTTCTGCATAGCAAAGGACATCACTAATAAGCTAAACAGAAAGCCTACAGAATGGGAAAGATTTTTACAAGCTATATATCAGGACAAGTGACAAACATCCAAAATATACTTGGATTAGAGCTCAAAAAATTAAACTTCCAAACAATAAACCTCCAAAGGAACAACAACCCAATTAATTAATGGGCTAATGACTTCAAGAAATTTCTCAAAAGAAGTAAAATGGGCAGTAGACACATGAAGACATGTTCAACATCCCTGGCCATCAAGGAAATGCAAATCAAAAAAACACTGAGATTCCCCTTTACCCCAATCAGAATGGCCAATATCAAGAAAAACAACAAAACAAGCCTGGTGCCAGTGGCTCACACCTGTGATCCTAGCACAGGAGGCTGAGACTGGAGGATCATGGGTCAAAGCCAGACCGGGCAGTAAAGTCCAAGAGACTCTTACCTCCAATTCGCCACCAGAAATTTGGAAGTGGCGCTGTGGCTCAAAGTGGTAGTGCGCTCATATTGAGCAAAAGAGCTCAGGGACAGCACACAGGGCCTGAGTTCAAAAACCAAAAAACAAATATCCTCACACGGCAAAGAGCCAGCTAGAAATGGACTCAAGTACGCAGAGCAAGCCTGGGGCAGGGACGCCCACGCCACCACAGCCCAGATTCCTGTCCCTTCCCAACAGAGGAGCTCCATGGGCTCTCATCAGGCAGAGAGCCTCTCGGATGACCCCAATTAAACGACGTGCTTTCCACTTAGAACAGGTTCAACAATGAAAAGCAGCAGTTCTGAATTGCTGATTACAACTCAGCATAATATTAGCTTAGTAGGACTTTGAAAAATAACCTTAAAAAAGCAATGACTACCCACTAGAAAGGATTCAGCGCTGCACATTTGCTTCGAGCCAGCTTCTGTGCAGGGACACTTCTGTGTGCCAGGGCACACCAGTCTGACCTGAGTGCACACAGCAGCTCCAGATCACCTCATACATGTTCATTTCTGCTCTAGACCTTTTAAATAGCATAGTTTTTGATTCTCTGAAAGCTACCAGTGGAACACTGTAAAAACACTGCTTTTAGCCCAGCACTGGCGGCTCACCCTGTAATCCTAACTACACAGGAGGCTGAGATCTGAGGATCACAGTTTGGAGCCAGCTTGAGAATCTTACCTCCAATTAAATCACAAAAAAATCCAGAAGTGGCGCTGTGGCTTGGGTGCTAGAACATTAACCTTGAGCAAAAGATGCTCAGGAGCAGCACCTAGGCCCAGAGTTCAAGACCCAGGAATCACAGGAAAGAAAAGCACTGCTTCTTAATACAGTATGAAACAGACCAGAGGGAGGGCTGGGATGAAGCTTTAAGGGAGGCTCTGAGTTCAATCCCCAGCACTTCAGAAAAAAACAGTGCAACAAAGTCCCACAGATTGCTGAATAGTTCTTACACATTTCACTCTAAAATACCAAGGTGGAAATCACAGCTGACACATTCTGGATGCAGTTGATATAAAAAGCAATGTTCTCGGGCTGAGAAGGTGGCTCAGTGGTAGAGTGCTTGCTTTGCATGCATAAGGTCCTGGGTTCGATTCCTCAGACCACATAAGCAGAAAAAGCCAGACGTGTCACTGTGGCTCAAGTGGTAGAGCAGTTGCCTTGAGCTGAAGAGCTGAGGGACAGTGCCCAGGCTCAGAGTTCAGGCCCCATAACATTAAAAAAAAAAAAAAAAAAAGAAGTAGTGTTCTTATCACTAAGGAAATGCATATTCAAAGACGATGATGAGCTGGGCTGGTGGCTCACACCGGTAATCCTAGCAATGCAGGAGGCTGAGATCTGAGGATTGTGGTTCAAAGCCAGCCCAGGCAAGAAAGTCTGTGAGACTCTGATCTCCAATTAACCATCAGAAAACCAGAAGTGGTGCTGTGGCTCAAGTGGGAGAGCGCTAGCCTTGAGTAGAAAAGCTCAGGGACAGCACCCAGACCCTAAGTTCAAGCCCCACTGACCAAAGAAAGTATAGATAAGTAAAAAATCAGATTCTATTGCCAGGACTACCACGTGTGATTCTGACCACGTGTAACCGTGACCATGACTATGTGGCTGAATCCTTTAAAAAGGATTTGTGCTATTTATTCAGAGCAAGGAAACTCAACACAACGGTCTAGAGCCTTACCTTTTGATTGATGTAACAGAATACACAAGAATATAGCCATTAATATCTATGGAGTATGTCTGAGGAAAAATCGAATATTCATCCTGTGGAAGAAAAAAAAATTATATTTGAGTAAAATCTCAATCTAAGCAGAGTATATATAATGTTATCCCGGAACCTGTGAGCTCTGAGGGGTTCAGAATGGCTTGGAAGTGACAGTGGCTCCAGCCAAGACTAAGAAATGACTGGAGGCCCCAGAACGCGAGGGTGGAAGCGACGGCAGCACTGGCTCCTGGGAGGAGAGGACGGAAGGGGGAGAAGATGGTGGACTCTGTGTCATCTATGAAAAGATGAGCACTGCCACATTTTCTTCACTAGGTAGAAAAGTCCAGAATCTCTTGTAACCTCCCCACCATGGGAAATGACAAGTCTTTCTGGTTTATAATGCCATTATCATTTGTTCTGATTTTTTTGTGTGACAATATTAGGACTTGAACGCAGGGCCTGAGTGCTCTCCTTGAGCTTTCTCATTCAAGGCTAGTGCCCTCTCACTTGAGCCACACTCTACTCTGGGCTTCTTGCAGCTGGCGCTGGTGGCTCACACCTGTAATCCTAGCTACTCAGGAGGCTGAGAACTGAGGATTGCAAATACAAACCATCCTGTGCAGGAAAGTCCACAAGACTCATTTACAATTAACCACCAGAAAATGGGAAGTGGCGCTGTGGCTCAAGTGGTAGATAGTGCCCAACCAAGTCCCACAACCAAGTCTCACAGATTTTCCCGCCAAGCTGGCTTTGAACTACAATCCTCAGATCTGTCTCCTGAGTAGCTCTAATTACAAGTGTGAGCCAACGGTGCCTGTCTTGTCCTATTTTTTATGTTAGACACACCCGAGAAGGTATTTGAGAAAGAGGAAACAATCTAAACACTAGAATAAATCAGTGTATCCATACTTTGGGGGACCAAGAGTTACCACTGAGCAACTTCAGGAGTTAAAGACAAAGCACAAACGATGTAACTATGTATTAAACCCTGATCTTACAAAGCAACTTACCAAACTGCTTTAAGATACAGACTTATGAGATAAGATAAGATACAGACATGTAACTGTCACCATACCATATATGACGAGCCTGGCTATAGCAATATAACCCCATGTGCCGTGCTATCAACCATCATCTCTGTTAACTTTGCAACCCATAGTACGGTAAACTACATTTATGATGGCCCAGAATTACTGTATAGTAAGTAAAGTTCATTAAAAAACAAATGAAGGGCTGGGAAGGTGGCTCAGTGGTAGAGCGCTTGCCTTGCATGCCTGAGGCCCTGGGTTCAATTCCTCAGCACCACATAAGCAAAAAGAAAAAAGCCAGAAGTGGCACTGTGGCTCAAGTGGTAGAGCGCTAGCCTTGAGCTGAAGAGCTGAGGGACAGCGCCCAGGCCCAGAGTTCAGGTCCCACAACTTGACCCCCCCCCCCAAAAAAAAACAAAAACAAACAAAAAACAAATGAAGTCCTTGGTATCATACTCATTAATCAGAAAGTACCTTGGGCTGGGAAGGTGGCTCAATGGTAGAGTGCTTGCCTTGCATGCATGAGGCCCTGGGTTCGATTCCTCAGCACCACATAAGCAGAAAAAGCCAGAAGTGGCTCTGTGTAGAGTGCTAGCCTTGAGCTGAAGAGCTGAGGGACAGCACCCAGGCCCACAGTTTTAGGCCTATGACTGACCAAAAAAAAGAAAAAGAAAGAAAGCAAATACCTCTTCTATTTCACAGCACTTACTTCATAGGCAAAATAGAACTTTTCACTACCAGTACAATTTTTGTTAAATTGGATTTGAGTGTTGATTTCTGAATGTAATTTTTGTTAATGCAACTGAAGACTAGACTAAAACCCCCAACCCCAAATCCCTGGGACAACTGGGGGGGGGGGGACCGGCAGCAGCTGCCGCAGTCAGCTCGAGCAGCCCGCTAGCACATCAGCAGCCCAGGCGCTCATGTCCACTCCAGCCCACTCTAGCCGTTAGTGCTGTGGACTTGATCTTGTGCTTTGTTCAGTATGGCCCTAGGGGAAATAGGCTGTCACAGCTAGGTGGGTGTAAGTTTACGCAATGGTGAAATTCCTCACTAGCACATTTCTCAGCATGTGTCCTCATCACTAGCTGGTGAGTGCCTCAGTCAGTGCTGATAGAAACTGCAAAGTAAAAACTACTGCCTACAAGTATTGCTATCACTAACTTACTGCCTGCCGTTTTACACCTAAAAAGTAAACTAAACTAGTGAATACATGTCCAATAGGTTATTTTCTTCCTGCAGTTGGGGTTCTCTCTTTGTTGCTTACGCTGGTCCTGGAACTAATGGGCTCAAGCCTCAAGCTCTGGTGTAGCTGGGACTATATATAGATGTGCACCACTGGGTCCAGCTACAGATGATTTGAAGAGTTTGCCCCTTGACCATTTCTTCTCACCATGCCAGTCTTCACTTGAACCAGCTCACACGAGCTGAATGCAGGAGCGTCATCTCAGTCTCCCTGCCGTGGAGTGGAAGAGGAAGCGGGGGTGGGGAGAGGGTCACCTCCAGGAACATGACCTTTGTCACCTGACAACTGCCAATGTCACCTTTAAGAACTATTAAAGCCATGAGCCATGGCTCATGCCTGTCATCCTAGCTTCACAGGATGCTGAGGTGTGAGGATCCTGGTTCCAAGCTAGCTGGGGCAGGAAAGTCCATGAGACCCTTATCTCCAGTTAACCACCAGAAAAATGGAGGTGGTGCTGTGGCTCTAAGTGGTAGAATGCTTGCCTTGGGCAGAAGAGCTCAAGGACAGTGCCCAGGCCCTGAGTTCAAGTCCCACAACCCACACAAAAAAACAAAAAACCTATTAGCTGCACAGCAACTGCCTATAATATTCAAAGTAGCTAAATGTGGATATATTTTGTGCAAAAAGTCTCTAAGAACTCTTATCCACTAGTAACACGAGCCAAGGGAACAAGAGCTGTGCCGGAGCCCGGTGCAGTCACTCCACACTCACCTCAGTTCTAGCCCGGAGAGACTCATCTTGTGCTGCTAAGGAGAAAACACAAAGCTACTTCCTGTGCAGCTCTGCAGGGGTGGACGTGGCACCCTCCTCCTACCCTGCACCAGCAGCTGAGTCCCTGTGTTCTCTCACAGCCCCATGCAGGGAGATCCAGGGCTCCCATCCTTGCACAGAGGAAGGGGCTGGGGCCAGCAAAGCTCATGCACTGTCCTGAGTCACCTGTGAAACACGGAGGCCCTACAGCAACAGTGACTGGAGACCTGCCACTTCCCAGCCTCACCCCGGTCCAGGAGAGGAAGACCAAGAGCAAACCACACATAAGGGGAGTTCAAACCCCAGCACTGCCAAACCCCACCCCACAAATAGCAAGCAAAAACAAAGATAAAAAAAAATCAATTTCCAGAGGCTGGGAAGGTGACTCAGTGGTAGAGTGCTTGCCTTGAATTCATGTGGCCCTGGGTTCGATTCCTGAGCATCACATAAGCAGAAAAAGCCGGAAGTGGCGCTGTGGTTCAAGTGGTAGAGTATTAGCCTTGAGCTGAAGAGCTGAGGGACAGCGCCCAGGCCCAGAGTTCAGGCCCCCACAACCGACAAACAAACAAACAATAAATAAATAAAGTTCCATAATGTGCAACGGCCACACTCTTTGCCCAGGGTGTTTCTACCTGTTACCAGCAAACTCAGTATGACCAGCTGCCCTTCTGCTGAGCATGTCTAGTTTCAGGAGATAAAGTTCTTACTCTTCTTAACCAAAGAATTCAACATGGATCACAGCCCGTGCTAGTTCTAGGAGCCTATGTCCTCCATGCCCACAGGCCATTACTCCTCCCTTTCTATCAATGAGCCCCACACACTGAGGGGCAGGAGCCCCACAGCAAGCACCAGCATGGCTGCTTACAGACTCAAATGTCCACTACAGGCTGCTGCGCTCAAGTGCAGTCTTGATTTTTGATGTATTGTCTTCCAAGCTTTCAGAATGGAAACTCCTACATTTTTAGTGCTAATACCAGTATAGCTGTTTCCTGCTTCATTGGGCATGTATGTGTATGTGTGTGTCACTTTCCAGTTCTAAATCACACCAAAACATGAAGCACTGGGAATTCATGTTTCATTATTCCAAGGCCACTCCACACCCCCAGGTTCCAGAAAAAGGCCCCCATTCAACAAGGCAGATCAGATTAGACCACGCAGCCTCCTGCCGGCCTGACCCTTTGTGATTACAGCTGCCGGACAGGAGCCAGGAGTTAAAATCCCAGCTTCTCTATTTCCTACCCTCCAGCGCAGAAGAAATTCATTCTAACAAAATGGCTTCTAGGAAAAGCAGAACTGGGCACCATGGAAACCAAGCAGCTAAGCTGTCAAAAGGGCCTTAATTTCCTATTCTTATTTGTCCCCTTTGCTCCCAATCAGTTCCCCTGATGAGCCATTCCACATTACCTGGCTATACTGATTATCTTATTATTATAATTTTTGTCGGTCATGGGGCTTGAACTTAGCGCCCCGGCACTGTTCCTGAGCTTTTTCACTCAAGGCTAGTGCTCTACCACTTTGAGCCACAGCACCACTTCCAGTACACTAATTATTATCTTATGATAGTCACGTTAGTGTGTGGCAGCAGCTTGACTTTTGGCAGTTACCTGCTGCATAGAAAAGCAACCAACACTCGACGATCTCCAACCTTACCACTACACAGTAAGTACACAAACCAAAGAAACATTCAAACTGAATCTGGGATGCCAAATGAACCAGTGCTTTCTGACTAAGTACTCACAAGATGCAATCAGTTGTTTCTTCCTTGTATATTCTCATGCTGGCTCCTAAGATGCACTGATTCTGGGATGCAGAATCCTACATTGAGTATCGCATCAACCCTCACATTAAGAATGTATTTTAGAAGCCAGGTGTGGCTGGGTGCCAGTGGCTCATGCCTGTAATCCTCGCTACTCAGGAGGCTGAGCTCTGAGGATTGCAGTTCAAAGCCAGCACAAAAGTCTGAGACTCCATCTCCAATAAACCACTCCCTCAGAAAACTAGAAGTGGAGCTGTGGCTCAAGTGGCAGAGTGCTAGCCTTGAGCTCTTGAAGAGCTGAGGGGTAGTGCTCGGGCCCAGAGCTCAAGCCCAATATCCTCCAACAACAACAACAACTCTAAAAAAAAAAACAAAAACACAAAAAACAATTAGAGGTGTGGATCCAGTAATAGAGTGCCAGCCGATGATGGAAAACAAGATTAAGATTACTGAGTTTGAGTCCAGGTCTCAGAAAAGTAAACTACTCGGAACCCTCCATGTGTGTCTTAGAAGACAAAGCAGAGTGCCGTGAATGTTCTGCCACACAGCGTGAGGACTGGTCTGGTAGGACTGTCATTTGGACGCTGCCAGGCATGTTTTCCGGCGGGAGATTCTGACGTTTTAGAGGTCACTTACTTGCCCAGCGGTGTCTACAAGTTGAAGATGATATTCTTGTCCATTTACTGTGATCAACTTTGTGAAAGCTACAAGGAAAAAAATAAACACAGATTAAATAAATTAACTCTATCCCACTTCAAGTCAGAACAATGAAACATACCAGAGTTCCTAATAACCTCAAGAATACTTCCCAGGAAACAAGAAAGGAGTCTCCTGCATGGTACAGATTCACCTCTACCTCTGTCATTTAACTGGGAGACACTGTGGCTGACTAAGATCAAGCTTGGGGAACTTGACTTTTTTCCCAAAGAGACCAGGGTAGGCAACACTTCATAGCCAGAAAATACAAGAACCAAACCAAAAATGTTCTTTTTTTTTTTTGGTCCGTTCGTGGGGCCTGAACTCTGGGCCTGGGCATTGTCCCTCAGCTCTTCAGCTCAAGGCTAGCACTCTATCACTTGAGCCACAGCGCCACTTCCAGCTTTTTCTGCTTATGTGGTGCTGAGGAATCGAACCCAGGGCCTCAGGCATGCAAGGCAAGCGCTCTACCACTGAGCCACCTTCCCAGCCCCCCAAACCAAAAATGTTCTATATACAGAGTCCTTTCACCTCCTGCCAATTAGCAAAATTACACTACAGGAAGCCTGGCTTCCAGTAACTTATAGTTGGTCCCTCATTAACTAAAGTACTTGTTAATGGAAACCCTTTGGTCCAACTATTTAAAAGATACTAAAAATTTTAGAAAGTGCTAATGTTCAGTACATAGAAGAAAAAAACCGAATTCTTTTTTTGGGGTCAGTTGTGGGCTTGGTTTCTGGGGCCTGGGTGCTGTCCCTGAGCTCTTCAGCTCAGGGCGATAGCTCTACCATTGAGCCACAGCGCCACTTCCTAGTTTTCTGGTGGTTTATTGGAGATGAGTGTCTCACAGACTTTCCTGCCCGGGCTGGCTTTTGTACCGTGGATCTTTAGATCTCAGCCTCCTGAGCAGCCAGGATTATAGGCGTGAGCCACCAGCATCCCAGCCCAACTTCTTTTATTGAGAAATAAACCAGCATAAAAAAGATGTTCTGGGATGAAGCCACTGTTCTCATTTACCTAAGGACCTAAGCAATCTGTCACAACTTGAGCTTTCCCTTTCATGAAGAAAAAATTATATTCTAGCAACTTGCAAAAAATCCAATTCAGTCAGAATTCTAAGGAGACAGGCTTTAAATAAATAAAGATAAAAGAGGAGGAACTATTAACAGTAAGAGAATGTTAGGAAGTAACACGCAGAGCCCTACAGGAAGCGTGGCGGATGTCACAGCCACCCTGGCTGGTTATCCCTTGAGAGCCAAGCTATCCCTGGCACCACTATCTACTTGGTGCTATAGCCAAAAGGGAAACAAAAAGACAAATGGGGGTTGGGAATGTGGCTTAGTGGTAGAGTGCTTGCCTAACATGCATGAAGCCCTGGGTTCAATACCTCAGTACCACATAAGAAAGCCAGAAGTGGCACCGTGGTTCAAGTGGTAGAATACTAGCCTTGAGCAAAAGCAGCTTAGGGACAGTGCCCAGCCCTGAGTTTAAGCACAGGACTGGCAAAACAAACAAACAAGCAAGCAAACAAACAAACATACTAATGGAAAGGGAGGCACCGGTGGCTCACACCTGTGATCCTAGCTACTTTCAGGAGGCTGAGATCTGAGGATCACGGTTCAAAGCCAGCCCAGGCAGGAAAGGACATGAGACTTTAATCTCCAATTAAGTACTAGAAAACCAGAAGTGGAGCTGTAGCTCAAAGTAGAAGAATGCTAGCCTTAAGCAGAAAAGCTCAGGAACAGTGCCCATGTCTTAAGTTCAAGCCCCACAACTGACTAAAAAAAGAGACAAATGGAAATTATTCAAGGAAAAAAAAAGCCAGGAAATAAGGGACAAAGTCAAGAAAACAAGGAACAAGGGGAGAGAGACAGGGGATCCTATGTGAACTACAGAGGTTCCCTGGGGAGGATGGCTGGCACCCCTTTCTTCTAGTGCATTCAGGGGTGTCAGGCTCAGGGGCAGAAAGTCTGCAGACCAACAGCCATTTCCACAGGCGGCTTTCTTCTTCTTTTTTTTGGGTCCGGTTGTGGGGCCTGAACTCTGTCCCTCAGCTCTTCAGCTCAAGGCTAGCGCTCTACCACTTGAGCCACCGTGCCACTTCCTGCTTTTTTTTTTTTGCTTATGTGGTGCTAAGGAATCGAACCCAGGGCCTCATGCATGCAAGGCAAGCGCTCTACCACTGAGACACCTTCCCAGCTCCTCCACTGAAGGCTTTCTAGAGAAATCTTTTTTTCTTTTTGTCAGTCATGGAACTTGAACTCTGGGCCTGGGTGCTGTCCTGAGCTCTTCAGCTCAAGGCGAACACTTTACCACTTCAGCCATAGTGCCAATTCTGGTTTTCTGGTGGTTAACTGAAGATAAGAGTCTCAAAGTCTTTCCTGCCTGGGCTGGCTTTGAACCACGAACCTCAGATCTCAGCCTCCTGAATAGCTAGGATTCAGGCATTAGCCACTGGCGCCTGGCTTAGAGACCATCGTTTTTAGGAAATAGGTAAACCAGATGAAAACTAAATCTGAATTATGTCAGGACAGGTAACACCTACTATACTCTGCTTCACTGATTCTAAGTTCCAAGGTATTTTTCACACCGTGACCTGACATGGGAAGGGCTCGTCTGGCACGGCCAGCCAAGCGCAGTCAAGAAACAGCTGTGAGAAACCCTTCTGCTATGATTAGTAAGTGTTTCATCAAGATGCATTGTACGTATACATGGACATGCTGAATTAAAACCTCTCTGCACAAAGGATGCTGTTAGTCCTTGACCCTTAGGTGGCATCCTAGTGAAGAAAAGCACCCACCTGGTCTGATATTCTTCCTGGGCAGAAGGTAGACAGTAAGTGAAAAAGCCAAGGCAGCTGAAGGAAACCAGGTAGGGCCTTATGGACCCGAATGGGATGGGAAGCCAAGGATTTTGAGCAAAGGAGTAATATAATCTCAATTATATCCTTCAAATATTATGCTGCAAGCACTGCGAACAACAGGCAAACACAGGTACAGGGAAGCTAGGCATGGTGACAGACACCTGTAATCCCAGTGCTCAGGAGACCAGAGTTTTAGACCAGCCTGCATTTACTTTTTTTTTTGGTCTGGTCATGGGTCTGAACTCTGGGCCTGGGCGCTGTCCCTCAGCTCTTCAGCTCCAGGCTAGCGCTCTACCACTTGAGCCACAGCGCCATTTCTGGCTTTTTTCCCCCCTTTTTGCTTATGTGGTGCTGAGGAATCAAACCCAGGGCCTCATGCATGCAAGGCAAGCACTCTACCAATGAGCCACCTTCCCAGCCCGTACTTTTTTTTTTTGGTCGGTCGTGGGGCCTGAACTCTGGGCCTGGACACTGTCCCTCAGCTCTTCAGCTCAAGGCTAGCGCTCTACCACTTGAGCTACAGTGCCACTTCCTGTATTTACTTTTAAAAAAAGAAGAAAATGGCTGGGCGCTGGTGGCTCACACCTGTAATCCTAGCTACTCAGGAGGCTAAGATCTGAGAATCATGGCTCAAATCCAGCCCGGGCAGGAAAGTCCATGAGCCTCTTATCTCCAATAAACTACCAAAAGAAAAAAAAAAAAACCAGAAGTAGCACTGTAGCTCAAGTGGTAGAGCGCTTGTCTTGAGCTGAAGAGCAGAGGGACAGCGCCCAAGCCTAGAGTTCAAGCCCCACAACCAACAAAAACAACAACAACAACGGAAAAAAGAGAGCAGAAAAGCTGGTGCCCATAACTCATGCCTATAATCCCAGCTACTCAGAAGGGTGATCATAAGATTGTAATGCAAAGCCAGCTGGGGACAGCAAAGTCCCCATGAGATTCTTATCTGCATAACCACCAGAAAGCTGCAAGTAGCACTATCTCAAGAGTGGAAGAGCCCTAGCCTTGAGCATGAAAGCTCAGAAACAGGAACCAGGCCCTGAGTTCAAGCCCCATGACCACCCTCCCCCTACCTCAAGAAATGTAGTAGAATACAATCTCAGCTACTCAGAAGGAGCACTCAAGCCTAGGAGTTAAAGAGACCAGCATGGGCAATACAAACACATCACAGGGAAAGAAAAAAAGTAAGATCATATCAATTGATTTGGGGGGGGAGGGGCGGTACAAGTCCTGGGGCTTGAACTCAGGGCCCGAGCACTGTCCCTGAGTTACACTCTACCCCTTGAGCCACAGCTCCACTTCAGGTTGTTTTTGGTTTGTTTTGAGTAGTTTATTAGCGTTAAAGAGTTTCTCAGACTTTCCTGCCAAGACTGGCTTTAAACCGCGATCATTTAATCTGTTTCCTGAGTAGCATGGATTTCAGGTAGGCGCTACTGGCACCCAGCTTGCTTAAACTTACTTGAGCCACAGCTCCACTTCCAGCCTTTTCTGTTTATGTGGTACTGAGGAATTGAACCCAGGGTTTCATGAATGCTAGGCAAGCACTCTACCACTGAGCCACATTCCCAGCCCCTTGATTCTTTAATAATATTGGGTTATGTAAGTTGGACTTTAAGACCAAAATCAGGGTGCTGGTGGCTCAGTCCTATAATCATAATCACTCAGGAGACTTAGATCTGATGACTGTACTTCAAAAGCCAGCCAGGGCAGACAAATCCACAAGACTCTTCTTTCCAATTAACCAGCAAAAAGTTGAAACTTAGAGGCATGGTTCAAGTGGCACAGTAAGCAAGTGGCATGAGTGACAAAGCCTAGTTGAGAGTCTCTAAATTAATCCCTGGTACTGGTGTGCACGCATGCATGTGCACACATACACACGCAATTAAAAATCTAGGTAGGAGGTGTGGCTTCTACCTAGGTAGAATGCCTGCGTATTTTAGCAAGTGCCAGGCCAAATTCAAAACCCGGGTTAAGGGGCTGGGAAGGTGGCTCAGTGGTAGAGCACTTGCCTTGCATGCCTGAGGCCCTGGGCTCGATTCCTCAGCACCACATGAGCAAAAAGAAAAAAGCCGGAAGTGGCGTTGTGGCTCAAGTGGTAGAGCACTAGCCTTGAGCTGAGGGACAGCGCCTAGGCCCAGAGTTCAGGGCCCACGAC